TTTTGCCAAAAAAACTATCCAGTAGTTTTTGTCATGCCCTAGCCTATCTACCATGAAAATATGAGTGAAATCGAATTTTCGACCCTAGCCGAGTTATTTTCCATTTTTATGGACAGGGACTCTTAATAGTCTAATTAATAAATTGCATGTCTTACATACCCTTCCCCACAGCACTCATTTAACAATTTGTAGGAAACACATATTTGCATTTTTCTCCAAATATCTGTCTCTTCAATAAGCTATGGAGTTTCTTATTGTCGCTGGCGCGCTCACTGCTGGTGCATGCGGCAAACAGGAAACGGTAACACATTAATTTTAAATAATACCTTCACATCTCGCTCTGGAGGAGTTTCTTCATCTTCACTATCCGCCATTTTTCAACAGATATCGCTTAATTTTAGTCTCTACAGGAACGTTAAACTGAAATACGGTCGGTTAGTAACGTTGACTTTCACATGGATCAATCAGTCCGCCATTTTGCCCGTACCGCAAAGGATCATGACCAGCTTTGAAAAGGACTAGGGACGAGGAAGCAACATTTGGGAAGAGCAACGCCTGGTTGAAATCATTGTTCCAAGAAACCGTATTGTTTTGGGTTGCCATTTCTTGGAAAACATCTCGACAAATCGTCAATTTTTATTGGGCAAACCGAGGCAAACAAGGAAAAAATTAACTCCTTGCTGTTGCGCAATGCTTTGCAGTTTAATTTTAGGTTTTGCACTGTCATGCGAGAATTCTACCAGTGCAATATGCCCTACAAGTTTATACAGAGCTACCGGCCGGCACATCTAATTAGTTAAATTGTCGAATTCGCTTATTTAAATGCATTGTTGTCGACTGGTAATTATACATTGAAGTGTCAAACATTATGGCAAGTGGTTCGGATACAGCCGCTAAATTTGCTGAACTGAAGAAAGATGTCGTTGACATTTTAAGTTTTTGTGAAGGACACCGTTTGGATCTTGGCAGATTCAAAGAGGAGTACAAGAACAGGTTCAGGAAGCAGTTTGACAAACAGTATAAGATTTTCAAGAAGGGATGGAAGTTCAAAAACCTCATGGCGGAATTGGATGATGTCATTGATTTGGAAGAATCGGAACACCACAAATCTGTTGTGGTAATGAAACTGAAAGAATCGTATTCGGCAAGCCGAGACTCGAGGAATAACCTGACCTCACCAGACAGGTTGGAAGATAGCGCTGGGTTTCAACAGGTCAAATTAGATTCCCCAACAAAATCACCGTTGTCACAAACTACAGAGAAGGAATCAAAAACTGCCACTACCTCAAATAATGATTCCTCAAATGTTAGTGGCCGCACATACCTGAAAGCACAAAGGCGTCTGAAAAAGACAAGTACTGAATCGAAAGAAAAAGATCGTGAACCAGCTGGAGGAAATGTCGCAACATCGATTAGCCCTACGGTGTCATCATCACCTGAAACTTTTGCCATGTTCTCGGGTTCATCTCTCCTAGGTCTGCCACTGTCACCACCACCAGTTTCTAGACTAGAAGCTTCAGGTATTTTACGAAATAGAAAACATTGTCTGTGTTTTGTATGTAGTGGAAGTTTGGGAGAACAAAAAATAACAACGATTTTTTTACCATATATTTCAAACACCGAGAAGAGATTTGAAAATACAAGGCTCAGTGGAGTGTTTTTGGACAAACTTTGAGGTGCTTAGAAATGTGGTAAAATATGGTCCCAGTGTTTGACTTAATGTTCTCAATCAAGACTGAACTAGGAAGAAAGAATAGAAATGAAATCGTGAATATATTCTAACCGATTTTTACAAAAACATGCCCGCTATTTTGGTGCAAAGTCTTTAACACGGTTTTCATAAATTCAGGCATATATTGGCACATAATGTCCTAAACTGCTTAGGGAATTCCCTAGTTTGACTCTAAATGCTTTAGAAAGATCGACAGAAATTAGACACACTGGTTTTCGACCTTTCTGGGTCATCCAGTCTTGTTCCCTTGAAATATATGTCTGGATTTATGAAAATGGTGTTTAAGACTGAATCAAGTGTTTTTTAATTTGTTTGTTTTTTCAATTTGTTTTTTTTTTTTTTGCTTTCACTATGACAGCAGCTTGTTTTACCTAGCATGAAATGTAGAAACTCCTTGCCACATGTTTCATTTATTTAGGTTTTTTTTTTCATTATTTATCAACCACCCCCCTCCACCCCCTTTTCAATTTGTGTTAAGTTTAGCCCAGGCTACACTCATCTGAATTCAGTTCGCATGGTGACTCTGACAAGGAGCAACTGATTAGCGTTCTGTATTTGCTGTCTAAAGGAAGTCTGTCGGAGGACATCATTAAGTCCAATGAAGGCCCAAGTCTTATGATTTGCTGGTAAGCGTCGTCCATTATCATATGTGAGGCTGGCCTGAGGAGATAAAAACTGTAAGGGTCACATTTAGTCCTGTATCAGTAGGCCGTTTGCACTGTGGCAGTAATGTTGTGCTTGCTTTAGACAGCAAAAATCTTTAGCCACATCAATTTAGGGCTTAGACGTGCAATGGACTAGACATTTCTAGCTGCTGTTGGCGTTATTTGCTCTGAACTTTGATGTAGCTAAAGACTAAGAAAAAAATCTGTTGAAATCTGGATGTGCCATTCCGCGCTCAACAAAATTGAAGTACATCCGGGACATTGCTATTTTCGAGCAAAACAATGCCACGAGCAGAGAGAAGAACATGAGTTCAAGTGCTGATCGTGAGTAGAATTTCCTTCTTTTATCAATTTTAGGCGTTCTCAGCTTAGCTAACTATCAGAACTGTCTGTGATTTGCTAGTGCGGAAGAAATTTATTTGTGTGGCTTTTGGGCGATAATTGACGTAACGACAACACGTTGAGTGTTTGCTTACTGCTAACTAGGGCCTAGTTTGTTTGAAGTTCAATCGATTCTAGATGTAGGAGGCTGTTGTTCAGTCCATTTAGGACGATGCAGGCCTTTAGAAAGCAATAGATTAGCTCTCCGCCGCAGTTTTGATATCTGTACGTTCATGTCGATTTAGACTCCAGTTTCATGTTAAAAGCACTCTTAATTAAATTGTACAATTCATGATTCAACGAAAAGACAGTTAATTTAGTCTTTCTGGCCTCAAAAGGCATACAGGAGAGTTATTTGCTGTTATTTGAGCCACGATAAGCCTTGTGGAAAGCTAGCTCTAGGACAGAATTGTATCAAGATTATCAGTGACAAATCAAATTCTGTGGCTATGTTTTTGCGAATCCAGGCAGATATGCAGATCAGATATCAAAACACCGCCATCGGGTCAATCATGAAATCCTTTGGTTAGGTTAATGAATTCTTAATGAGTTTGAGAATTATGAGTTTCCCCAAACATTCACAAGTGTTTTCATCTATAACTTGATAGAAATGCAGTCAGAGAAAATGTTCTCTGTACAAATTTCTTTTACAATTAACACTATGAGAAAAAGTCACTACTTCTTTGCACCTTCACAAAATGTAAATTTTCTTTGTTTCCTTCATCATTTGCATCAGCAGCTCAAGACATGCTAATTTTACGTTTCTTCAAGTTATAAAAGTGCAGCATTTAACACATGCTTTCTCTAGGAATTATTTGCTAAGTTATTGACCCTTGTTGTGGACTGAGTGTGTTCTATAGGTTTTTATAATTATATAAGTTTTTGGTACTTTACACAGTGCATATGTGTAAAGAAAGTTGTGCCCGTTAGCCTAGGGCTAGTAGATTATTCAGTCGGGCTTGTGGACTCTGTCCTTTATTCTCATGCTAATTCCTAACAAGACCCTATTAAGTGGCCACTCCCATTTTATCAAGGGTGGCCACTCAATAGGGGCTCGACAATTAAGTTCAATGAAATTATAAGTACATGTAGTAATGATGACACTTAAACTGGCAGTAGGGAGCCAGTTTCCAGTTAGCATTCTCACTGAATCTGGTATTAATTGGTCTTTTTTTTTGGAGGGGGGGGACAGAGTTGAGAATCCCCATATGAAGGTGACAGGAAAGAAAATTTGAAAACTAAAACAAAAAACAAAATGAAAACCTAAACTAAGGTTCCTGATTCAGTTTTGAGGTGTTCCGCAATCCCAAGTTCAGAGTGTGTAATTCTGCAATCTTTGTTTTTGAGAGTCTTGGATTGCATGTCTATAATGAAGTATGACATATGAACGATATCAGCACAAAAAAAGGGTTTTCACAGATTTTCTTGATGACTGACAAATGATACTGACCAGCATAATCTTATGTATGTACTGGATATGTCTCAGGCACTCTTATATTGCTTCAAGCCCAAGCAACCTTGAAACTGCCAAGACCTGGAAATAGGTCAATTATTAACCTTAATCAAATTTCAACATTCCTGCCTGTGATAATTTGAACTTATCATCATTCATTTTCCAGGTTTTACTCAAGGAATGCAAATGACACCACCGCAAAGAGCAGAAACAATTAATGCTGGAAGTGCACAGGCCACGGCTTTATCTCTCCGTGAAATAATGGAGCAGCAAGCTGAAGAGGAAAAACTTGCTGGTGCGAGTCCCTCTACTCCACGTCTTGGGTATGAAAAGCTATTGCAACAGATGGGCACGCCCACTGCAGTGAAAGGAAATGCCCACTTCTCTCCACCAGACCTCAAAGATGCACGAATTAGAGAAGTTGGAACTCCAGGCCCATTAGAAAACTCGATTATTCATGCCCAACATGTAATGGTTTCCAATTCACCCAAAGCAAAGTCTGCAAGAAATGTTTCTCTTCATGAGGTTAATAGGGCAGCAGAAGATATCATTGCATCTTTGTCGGAGGAAGGTCAGTTTGTTTGTCTTGAGGTTGTAAAGGCCAAACTCTGCAAAGAATTTGGAAAATCAAGTCTCACTACAATGGGCATCAAAAGAGACAAGGACATTCCCGCCCTCAATGAACTAATTCAGATGCAGGCCAAAGTGAGTGTCTGAAAATTATCTGGTACTGATGCACCAATATTGTGCAGAGGATCATAATGTATTTGTATCCCATTTAGTCTTTTTATTACATAACTATGAACCAAGTCTCCCACCCCCACACCGCTAAAAAATCAAATGGTTCACCCCTGAAGTGATGCGTTTTAATTATAGCAAACATAAGCTTTTCATTGATTTTGTTTACCTGCACTGGGTGAGGAAATGATAAATCCTTAATTCAGAAAATGAAAAGAAAAAAAAAGAAAGAAAAGAAAAGAAATTGCCTATTCACAGCAAACACAAATTGTCACTTTTCTTTCTTTCTTGTAGAAGCACAGACATGGGAAGCAACCTGTTGTTTCCTTAAAAAAGGCAATTTTTTTCATCTTTCCCCACCTGTCTCAGTACTTCAGTTTCAAATATTAGACAGTCTATGAGTATTCTTTCTAACAATTTTACATTCCCCACCAGGTCAGCTTATTCGTGCATGCCTACGTCATGTCAAACAGTATTTCTACTCTGTACGAATTAAACCAGAGTCTTGCAGACCTGGGATCCCAGCCAGACTTTGAAGATCTCAAGCTAGGTCCCCTGGTCCAACAGCCTGTGGTATATGACATGTTTAAAGCACCAACTGATCTCGCTGAGCTGCCTCATATAACCACCATTCAGATTCTAAAGCATTTGGAGAAGTACATGACCAGGGAAGACTTGTGGCGGAAGAAAGTGGATTTAGCAAGATTCATGGAGTACTTGTGTGAAGAGTATCGCTGCGAAACTCCATACGAGCTTGGAGTGAGGATTCAAAGCATTGGATTGGCCATTTCGGTAATGTTATTGTAATCATGGTTTTTTTCAACTTTCTTTTACTTTTAGTTCATCTATTCTCTAGTAAACAACGTCCTTTGTTACAATAGGCCGTTTCCGAGTTGGCTTTTTCCTCTTTGTCCTCTGAGTCTTGACGTGCAAACCGGCGAGAGGTTCATTTTCATGTAAATCAAACCTATTTTCATATGACAGGTTTTGCATGAAGCTCATATTTTGTGTAAATCTGTTCGTCGGGTGGTTAGCAATAAGGGGTCTGGTTCATGTCTGGGCATGTCTGTATGTATGTCCCACTCTTAAACGGGGTCAAGACACTTTACTCTCACAGCGCTTTGGACTACCGCCTGAGGTAGGGGGACCAGTGAAATGCCAAGGCAGCGTGACGATTAATGCTGGGCGCTAACCATTCCACATATTTGGGCAACGCAAATTATTACTAGTCACCGTAAACTGGGATAAGCTCCACTTTGGCCTATCGTAAATTATAAATTAAACAGACTTTGCCTTTTCCTGTATACTTCTTTGTACTGTCTTTGGCAAAGGAAGGTTCGTCATGGAGACACTTTTTTTTGTCCTATAATGTTTGCTAATAGAGTTGTTGACTGTGTTTTTAGGTGATTAAAAAGGCCAAACACAGCGAGAGTGAGAAATGGAAA